TGAGGGGTCTGCTCTGGTACTCCCTCCTTTTTACTCTTTCTTCTCGGCTCTATCTGGCTCTAGGTAGGAGGGATAAGAAAAGAGGTAAACATCTCTTTAAAAAGCTGGACAAGACTGCAATTCTCTCTCCATTTGTCGTCACCGATTTTTTGGTTAACACATATAGACCATCACTGCTCTCTCTAATGTTTTAAGTTTCTAAACGCTGAATCTCCTAAGGCATGTATGTGGGCTCTTGGGGGAGGAGGTACACAGCTCACTGACGTGGAAGATCCATCTTGGCTTGAGACTATCCAGTCCTCTCAGCTTCCCTTCCCAGCATACAACCCACAGTTACTTGCAGCTGGGAGCCTCCAGTGGGCAAGCACTCATAGGAGGGTATAGCTTCCTTCCTCAGTGTCCACCTGACCCACAGGAAATTCCTCTACCTTGTCCTGCCAAAGAGAGAGAGAACAGACTGCTCCGCTAACATCTCTCTCCAAGTCTTCTTCCCTTGCTCATTGCCAAATGGTGGCCATCAGCAGGTTTGCTACACATCCTACTAAGAAATAAGGTCCTAGATGCTCCTCTTTCAGGTACCTCAATCTTTACAACTGCTTATCTTAGATCCTCCCTCGCTCAATTCAGTGAGTAAAAACCACCTAATTACTGATTCCTGAAAAAGAAGAAAAACTTCCAATGTAACATACTATTACAGAACTAAAAAATTGATTACACGGTTAAATGAGAAGCAATAACTGCAGAGCCGTTGGAAAAGGAGCACGGACAAAAGGCTGAGCATTGGCTGGGTCAGGAGCCTGCCTTACCCCACCTCTTCTCTTTATGGCTCCTCACTTCCTCCCACAGTTCTAGTGTCAGAGAACAGCTCAGAGCCGTTCTTGCTCCTCTGGCCCTGGCCTGATTCCAGGTGAGCTTGTGATTGGTTCTTTGGCTATGAGCCTCTAACTTCACTGGGTATGTAGAAGGGATCAAACCTCCTGAGCCCAAGAGTGGACATAAGGACCCCCGGGAGATTTTTGTAAACAGACAGCACCATGGTCAAACAGAAGGAGAATGGGCTTTGGCTCAGATAAGCCTGGATTTGCATCTGGGCTCTGCCCCGAACTGTGTGACCCTGGAGGAATGATTTAACCTTTCTAAATCTAAGACTTTATCCATAAGAAGAAAAGAACATCTCCTAATTTGCAAGAATTAAAAGAGAAAGTACCTGGCATTTCTCCAAGTTCGACAAAGTCCCAGAACAAATTGATAGTCATGAATAAGGTTGAGATAAAATGAGATATCTCTCATTTTACCATCCAACAACTGTGGCACCGACATTATTTCATATCTTCTTAATGCACCAAATCCTAGTAGTAATATATGACCTAAAGCATATAGATTTTTTTGAATGGCTATTCAATACACGCTGAGGACCTCACTGTCTGTACTCCCCAAGATTTTAATGTCAACAAGCAATTCAGAAGGCTTTCATCCAAACAAGCAGCATTTGGGGTGAGCCTTGTTCAAAGGACAAGAATGATCCAGGTTGCCTCCTAACCCTTCCTCTTTTTAATTAAAATTGTGAGCAAACCTGGGCAGTGCCCCAGTGGCTACTGCCCACCATCTATAACAAACATGAACTCGGTCTCCCGGCTACCAAGGAAGCCTAACGCACTCTGGAACAAAAATCAGCAGACATGATCTTTAAAAGAATGAAAGCTCTAAGCAAACAGTTTTAAACTCATGTGAACTGTGTGTGTGTGCATGGGTAAACACGAGATGAGGGCATCACTTGTACGAGACACCAATTTTCTTAAACGGATGAAGATCGAACTTCTTATTGCTGAGAGTAAACACACTTAGTGCTAAATATACCCTTCAAATCAAATCCTTTGGATTAATTTATTTTAAATCTGGAATATGTCTGGCTCAACAACTGCCACATTTCCCAGAAGGCTTACATAACAGAGTTCACAGTTGGCTCACTGGCCCTTAAATTAGTAGGTGAATCTGTTTGCCTTTATTTAAATCTAAGAAAACAGCACAGGAGAAGGACATCCCAATTCAGTAAAATCCCTATCTTTCTTTCTTTTTCTTATCTTATCTTCAGTATATGTGTCCAAGAAGCAGGCACCCACTAAGTCATTTCTTACTATTAGGAAATTCAGAACAGCTCCACTTGACTTACATAAACAGTACAACGAAGAGAAGGAAAAGTAGCCAAGGTTATAAAGAATCAGAAAGAAGAGTACAAATTGAAAGGGAACAGTAAAAGTCAGAGATTTTCTGGCTTCTTTCAGGTGAGAATCTTTAGCAGAGAAGCTGTTCCCCACCCCCAAGTCAGAAGCTCATACCTATATGTTGTTCTTTGAGAATTTATCTATAAAGAAGGGAATCCTTTATATATAATCTGCTAGAATGTAGTCTAGCTGCAACATCTCTTTTGTCACATTGATCTAACTCCATGATTGATCAGCTAATCTGGCTTCTGAGAGTAACTCCATCCTCACTGACTCACCCACATCTAGCCCATAGCTGCACTTCTGTCAAAAGCAGAGGGAACTGTCAAGGGTATGATGAGTAAGGCACTGATCTTAGACTAAGAAAACATTAAATTAAGTGATCCAGACCATGAATCACAATATTTAAGGAAATGAGGCTCAGGGAAGCAGTGAAAATTGCCAGGGTCTGAGTGCCTACGCAATAGATAGTATTCAGTTATTATTTCTCACATTACCCATTAGCACAGGCTATGTCTATAATTACCTATTCTTAATATCACTATATACTTTTAAGTGACTTGGGCTGTTGGTCATACTTCCTTCATCTTGTTCTAATATTTCTTATGTCCTTATGTTCTTTTTTAAAATAGCTTCATTGACATATAATTCACATGACATACAAGTCATCCATTTAGTATACGATTTGTTGGTGTTTGGTTGTGTAATCATCACCACAATCTATTTTTAGAACATTTTAATCACCCCCAAAAGAAACTCTCTACCCATTAGCTGTCACTTCCCATTTCTTCTTGTTCCCTTATCCTTAGGCAACCACCAATCTACCGTCTGTCGCTATGGATTTGTCTATTCCAAACATTTCAAATAAATGGAATCATACAATATGTGCCCTCTGTAACTGATTTCTTTCACTTAGCATAGCATGTTCGAGGCTTACCCATGTTGGAGCACACATCAGTACTTCATTCCTTTCTATAACCAAATAATATTCCATTGAATTGATACAGTACATTTGATTAAGCCATTCTCAGTTGGTGGACATTTAGTTGTTTCTTCTTTTGGGTTATTATTAATAAAGAATAAATATTCATGTATAAGTTTTTGTGTGGACATATGTTTTCATTTCTCTTAAGTTAGGAGTGGAATTGCTGGGTCATGTTTAACATTTAAGGTCCTATGTTTAACTATGTTAACTATGATTAACATTTAAGGTCCTTATACTCTTTTAACCTTTATATGATTAAAAAATTTTGGAACTAAAGTTTATAAAGTAAAGATTTCTTAAAATCCTCCTATTACCCCACAGTTCAGTGTACATACCCTCAATGTTTTTTCAATGCATAGATAGAACCATATACGATTTTTAGAATATAATTATTATTGTACGAATGGGATGACATTATACATATTTTCTGTTTCTCACTCTTGTTGCTTAATAGTTGTATGGACCCCTTTCCATATCCATATGGAGAGAGAGAGCTGCATGTACCTCTCTCATCAGTCACGGGTCCAAGCACATTTTCATTATTGGCAAGAAATTACGATGCCAATTAAAGGCCATTTCACTCCGTCATCTAATTTTGTGCTATGTATTTCATGAACTTGTTGGTGCTTTTGTTTCCACATATTCACTGGCATATCCCCCTGAGGACTCGATTTGTTGACTGGTTTACACAAAAATGGGTCTAAACAGTGAAATGGGAAATCATACTGGACCTAATGCTAACTAGAGTTAAAATGTAAAGCTAAGAGAGACGTAAGTGTGAGATGGACTTGGTTTATCCCTTGATGACTAGATCTATTATTTCCTGTTGGTTGTTTTTTATAACATTAATATATGAGTACATGCATAATTATAATCTTTTCAAATAAGAAAGTTCTCTACCTCCCCACATCCTCCCTTCTCCACAGAATTTTAATAGATTGGTATTTATCCTTCCAGATCCTTTTCTATTTTAATAAAAATTTTTATGTCCTAGTTTTTATTTTTACAAAACAAAAGTGTATATATTATTTTGTGACTATTTTTTTCTCTCTATAATTCCCCCATATACACACTTTCCCTGCTGACCTATGGATGTTGCCGTTTTCCCTAAGAACTGAATCTCTGAAGGTGGGGTGTCTCCTCCTACATGCTCACAGCTTGAACCTGGGAGCTGGCACACCTAGGGCCTGGCGCACCCGGGGCCTGGTGCACCCGGGGTATGGTCCGTGGTTCCACCTGGGGTGCAAACCCAGGACCTTCTGCATGTAAAGCAGATGTGCTAACCGCTACACTATGGAGCCAACCATTTCATGACTATTTTTTAATTAACATTACAATTTGGAAATCCTTCCAAGTGATAGATAAAGATCACTTCAAGCTGAATTTGAAATAGTATAGCTGAACATCTCATGAAAATTGAACTGCAGGAGCTCCATAGTAAATTTTATATTGTTGAACAGAAAAGGTCATTTTAGAAACAAACCAAGAAAGAATTTGGTGCATTTAGGAGCGTGATCTCCAAAATTAAATCACATGCATTTGATGTGTGCCCTATGTACCCAGCACAATGCTTCAAGCAGGGGAAATATCTAAAGTACCTGACATAGCCAGGAACTTAGGACACCCAGGAAGCAGCCATGCAGGGCATCCAAATGCTGACTCTGCAAAGAGGATTAGCCCCTTCGCAGATGAAGCAACCTGAGTGGGTGATGGCAGTCATTTAAAAGCTTTGCCTTGTGTACAATCTCATGATTCAGAGCTGCAAAGACACGTATCAGAACGGTGACACCTACTTTAGGTCGAGTGTCAACGACGTAGATGAAGTCGCTTCCTGGATTGGCTTTCCTGATGGCCTGGAGCATCTGCTCATCCTCCAGGCACCGGGCGCTGAAGCCTGACAGGGGCTGGCTGCTCCGGCAGATGGAGGCCTGAGGGGAGAAGCCGTGGAAACATAATGGTGTCAGACAACTGTACAACTGGACCCACCAGAGACCCGCTAGGCTATCTGCACAACAAGGAGCCCGTTGGTTCACTTATGCCCCACAATAGCTTATAAAAGTATCATGCTAATGACTTCTGGAAATCAAGGTTGGTTTCTTTCTAACTCAGGTCAAAGAAACCAACATATGGGCAGGCAGTGTGAAAAAGTACTCTGTGTAAGAAATTAGAATGTGTAAAAATGTTTGACTAGGATCCAAATTATGAAAT